CCCCCGCCATCCGCCGGGAGGCCGGGGTCCGAGGGTGCGGCAGGGTCGGCTAGGGAGCGGAGAGGAGGCCGAAGAGGGGGAGAGCGAAGGGGAAACTGAGGGGCAAAAGAGCAGTACAAAGAGGAAGTCCCCAGGGGAGGGAAGGCCGAGGGAGAGGAGGCTGGGAAGAGGAAGGGGGCCGGGCTGAGAAAGGGCGCGTTTGAGGGGCGAGCGGGCCGCCGCGGGGAGAACCTGCTGAGAGGCGCTTGTCGGACTTCGCTGTCCAGACCGAATGAGACGGAAATTTCCTTTTCCGAAAATGGCTCTGAGAGGGAAATTCTTAGAGGAGCAAAGGTGCAAAAGAGGAAGGGAGGGAGAGAGGCGGGAAAGGACAGCTGGAAGGTAATGCCCAAGAAAAGCGGGCGGGAGAACGGTAGAGAACTGATGGGTAGGCCCAGAACTGAGGTTGGATTTTGATTTTTGTTTAATTTTGTCTCGGGGGAGGGGTGACGTGAGAAAAGACCAATCCCCAGAGAAAATACTGAGGGAAATGGCTCCTGTCGATCCTCTCGCGAGGACCCCTGGGCGCCTCCCCCAGGAGATATCCTGCTACCTCCAGGCTGCGGTAGCCTCCTCGTGTCCTGTACCTCACTTCTCCCTCGTTCACCTCCCTGGTGAAATTTATGAGTGCAAGATTGGCCTTCAGGAATTAGGAATATTTATGCTTCTTTGAGAGTGAGATTTGAAGGTGATAAATAAGGGGGTCATTGCGGGGTGCAGCTGGGGGCTCCTATTTTTAACATGGCCACTTTCCCAAGGCTCCCAAACCCCCTTTCTCTTTCATCCAGAGCCAGAGGAGGAGCACTGAGGGGTGGAGAATGGGTTTCAAATATCGGGAAGGGGGCTTGAGGATCCTGGAGAGCCTCTCTGAGGCCTGCAGGTCTTTGCAGCAGAAAGGCCTGAAGGCAGCTAGGGGAGGAACTTCTCAAACATCCCAGGCATTCTCAGAGCCCCTGGAGTGCAGTTCAGTTTCTGAAGAGAGTGGGGAGAAGCCTGCTTCCCCTCTGCCCCCTAAATTTAGTTGCTGAGGAGCAGGGAAGAAGAGCCAGGAAATTCAGGACCAGGTTTCTCTGGCCTTTCTCCTCCCTCATATGGGAGAAGAATGAAATCTACTGCCCACAGTTTAGATCCCTGGGAAAGGAGGCTAGAATGTGGGGCTCAGGGCATCTCCTAGGAGCCTTGGACCTCAACCTCTCCATCCCCACTGCTGGCTGAGAATTAAGAACAGCCAATACTTCTTTTTTGTTTGTTGTTTGTTTTGAGACAGGGTCTCACTATGTAGTTGAGCCTGACACGGAACACACTGTGTAGCCCAGGCTGGTCTGGAACTCACAGTGATCCTCCTGCCTCAGCCTCTCGAGTGCTGGGATTACAGGTGTGCTGTGCGCCACCACATCTAGCCAGCCAATATTTCTTGATGCCCCTTGCTCTGGGCCTCCAGGAAGTGAGGGAGGGACAATCTGCTTGTGGATCCACAGGCCTTTGTTCTCAGCTCCAAAACCTCTGTGTCTGTAACCCCTCACCTAGCCATAGCACTTGCCCTGGGCCTGAGTAGGTAGTGAACAAAGATGGGGGTCACAATATAAGGGAAGTTTTCAGAGAACAGAGAGCTGGGGAAGAGTCCCCGCCCTACTATGCCCTCTCTGTACTCTGGCTTTAGTGAAGATGGCTGCAGTGCACTTGCATACACACACCAGCCTACTGCCTGTAGTGGGAGGAGGGAGAGGGAGAAGGGTCTACACTGGCCCTTTAAGAGGCACTTAGGGTCAGAAAGCCCGGGCTACAGAGAGGGGAAGGAGCTGATGTCAGAAGACGGATGGGCAGCAAGATGGGGATTGATGCTAATGGGGGAGTTAAAGCTAAGTACCCAGACACTCAGAGGGCAGAACTGCAGATCTGTCTTCCTTATGCTCACCCCCCCCAACCAAGG